TATGTACATTTAAATTTATCAAGTGATTACTGAGATATCAAAAAATTGCTTAATTTATGCTAATTATATCCTTAATATGCACTGATTAAACCCTAATCTAGTTTAATCTGTGGGTTAACCCAAACCAACTATTTACCAAGTTTCATTGAAAATCTCTTGTGTGGTTCTTGAAATACCTGTGGTACAGCCAAAAATTGACTAATTTATTTGAATTAGGTTTTTGATAAGCAGATTACAACCAAAAACTAATCAGGTATGTGCATCATCCAAGGCCATCATCATGAGAGTTTCATTAAAATCCAAAGAGTAATAGATATCAGAATACACACATACACACACAAGGTACATGCAAAGACTCCCAACGTTTCCATTGCATACACTAGTCAAAAACTTACTTTGTGAGATGGTGTTGATGGACGTTGTACAAATTCCGTTACTATTGGTGGTGGTGACAGTATTGTAGTTAGGATATGTGTCCTCACTCGTATTTAGTTCAGACGTTGAATTAGAATCGCTCATTTTACAATGATTGCGATGAAGTCGGCTTTGTACATAACTATCACTAGATATTCGTTGAATTGGAAGACTCAGTGAATTGGCTGCTGTGTCAGCGTGATTCTTGTTGGTCAATGAGTGCTGTGACAATACTGGCACTAGTAAACCACCATCTTCACCACTGAACTAGAAAGAGAGATGAAAATTAAAGAAATGTTGAGCTGCCTTGTTTTTAATAAAATTTCACAGCTACAACTTGTGGAATATAAAAAATCATTGGAGTGTGAAGAGCAATGTGGTTTCTATAGAAACACACCATTAATCATTGCATTAACATTCCCAAAGTGCACCAAAAATGGACCCTAGTGCTTTTACAAAAATGTTCACCTCTAGCTGGCTGTAGACACCCCTGGATAGTGCTCAAAGTAGGGCAAAAGCATATTAAACATGCATAACACGTGGTGGGAAACAACAGCATGCATCAAGAAAATCCAGTTGAAAATCCATCAAGAGAACTAGACACATTGTAGGTAACCATACTGATGATATCAAATCTGATGATTCTTTGCGGGACACATGAGCAGGTTATCGTTTTCACAAATTCCAACGGTGAGATTTCACAGCTCATGACCACAAGTGAACAATGGGGTAGCCTACCACAATGCCAATGGATTGATTGCAGGCAAGCAAGGGATCTGTTGACCCCAATAGATGTATGTTACATTTCAGCATAGACAACACATCATATTAGACCACACACCAATCTATCCAGCCACATTTCGCATTTATTGTAAATGATTCAATTTTTATAAGTTCAACAATTGAATGAGGTTTAAATTTAAAAATAACAAGTTTATTATTATTATGATGATTATTATTAATATTATTATTATGATTGGGTTAACAATGCCAACATAGTAGTAAATTGGGTCAAGAGTTATAGAAGTATCCTGGGGCATTTTGCAGGAGACTATCATTATAGTTAATGCAAGAGCCGTTGATATGCAAGCATTTATAAACTAAACTACTACTACATAGTAAGCCAGAAACTTTTTGGGGTTTAATAATAATCAGACTATGACACCTGGCTGACCCAACACTCCTTTGGTCTCCATGAACTGAAAGACCAAAACGATTTAAAATACTTGAAGGCAACCGGTAATTGTACCAGAGGGCAGAAAAACATGCATGAAATGATTACACACGACTGTAGTACACAAGCATGAAAACACTAATCACAGTCACTGTCGTTGTGGCTTATGATGTTGAAGGTAATTATAATAACCTATTCTCCTAAACATTGGACTTTTGTGTCTACTACTTGAGAAGTGCAGTGATTCAAGATCCTATTATTCTATAAACGCGACATTATCAACAAAGGTTTTAAAAGATTACCTAAGATTAAGTGTCATCAAAGCAAAAAAACTGTGTACAAAAGTTCACAACTGTCAAATCATTGAGAAAAAACTTTGTGGTATACTTGAGGATGACCACTGTTTCGGCACGTAGGCAAACGAAATGACTTCCACGAACAGAGAAGTGAACAAAACTCCATCAATAGTCAATGAGCTAGTTTTTCAGACTATAGAATGATTTATCATATCACATTGGAGA